CAACCATGAAAAGCTGAATAATGAACAAAACTTTCCTAAACCCAGGGGCAGAGCTATAGCCGCAGAGGGGTGTTCATCGGTCGGTTCGGTCGACCGACCGAGCCGAACTACCAAAACCAAATTATAAAATTTTAAAAACCGAATCGACCGAATTAAGTGCCTAAACCGAAGTATAACCGAACCGAATTGTTCGGTCGGTTAACTGGTTTTTTTAAAAAATAAAAATAAAAAAATTATATGATTGTTCACTAGGCCCGGCCCAAACAAACTGGTCTTTTCATTTGGCCCAAACACAATTGTCCATACAACAAAAACACAAGAAAAGTAATCATTGTCTGTCAGTTTATCTTCAGCACATCACAAATAATTAAGCTTCAGAAAAAAAAAATGTTCCAAAAATTGTTCCACAGCACAAGTGATTTGCAGGCACATCACATTCAAAAGCTAACCAGGAACAGGCTCTACATATATAAATTTGTTCCAAAAATTTCAGAAAACTAAGCATATACTTGCCATCTTCATCTATAAGCAAGCAATCTCCAGTTTAACCTTCATAAAAATTTACATTATAAAATTTGACAAAGAAAAATTTGCACAGAATATAACAAAATAAAAATAAAAACATCAGCATAGTTTTCAATGAACATAATTTGCCTAAGAACAATTACAGATCCAAATGAACCACAACAATACAAGTCTGGCATAAAAAAAAAGGTGACCGACGATGTAGACAAATCGACGACCATAAATGAAAATTACTCTTGAACTTACCGGAATAGACGAATCGACGACCGGAAAAAAGGAGTTCTTGAGTCTTGACCGACGACAAGGAGTCGTATTCTCGTAGACGCGCTTTGAGGGCGGGGAGGATTTGGGGCCGAATCGACGATTTGGGGGATGAACGATTTAGGGCGAAGGAGCGGCGGCGGAAGTTGGGGACGACGGAGGATTTGGGGAAGAGACGAGGTCACGAGACTCACGACTGAGTAGGGGACGGCAGAGAATTAGGGAGAGGAGCGTCTGATACACTGAGTAGCGGAGAATCCACTCTCGACATTCTGTGTTCTGTAATCTATGCTGAGGAATAGGGATAGAAAATTAATATTACGATATTATATAATACTAGTATTCTACTTGTGCATTTGCACAAATGTAAATAAAATATTGTGAGTTATTTGTATGCATATAATGATTAATTATTTTTCTTTCACGTTTTTGCAGCCAAATTTACAATTAAAGGAGTTGATTTTTTGTTAAATTGCGTTTATTAGATTGGATATAACGTATATTTTGGTATGTAACTTTTTTAAAATTATTTATAATTTATTTAGGAGTTGCATATATTTTTTTATTTTCTAAAAAAAAATAATTTACATGTAACCACAATAATAATATCTAATCACATTATACAGTAACACATTATATGGTTAACTGTCAGTAATCAAAAGTTCAAAATGATTTTTTGTATTTTAGATTGATTAGTGTATTGGTTATCTATTAATTAGGTTAAATAAATGAAAAGTAACTGTTTTTTGGGGGAAAATGTAAAAGTGCCACCTAGGTATAATTTATGAGGTTTTCTTAAATGAAGAAGAGCTAGTAATTATATATATATAGATTATATTATATAATACTATAATATATGTTATTTCGGATATTGAAGTCTAAAATCGAAACCGACCGAAATACGAACAATTAAATGCTAAAAAACAAAAACCGACCGAGTCAGATAAAAACCAAATCGAAATTTTCGATTCGGTCAAATTAGGTCGGTTCGGTCGATTTTAGTCGAATTTATGCACACCCCTAATGCTAGGCCCCACCTGGAAATTAGATTTTTAATTTTTAATTTATAATCCAAGAATCCCCAATTTACTTGGGACAAAAAGGCTATGTTGTTGTAATCCAAAAATAAAGATAAATTGTGTAGTTTTATAAAAATAATTTATAAATGAAGTTTTTTGTTAACTAGTCTTTTTTTCTCTTATAAATCTATCAAAGCATCACATACTACTATAATAATTGTTATGTTAGAGAATTGTTGTCAATGAAAATTCATGTCAACTACGAAATTAACTAAGAAATAAAATTCATAGGGTAGGACCGAAACTTCTGCAGTTTGTCCAGCAAGAAGGGCGATTGCCTTCCAGCTATTCGAAATAAATGATGCAGTTTCGTAGTATGTTTTCTGCATATAGTATTCCATGCTGCAAAAGGTAAACATTGTAGTTTATTTTTTGTTTGGTACTTGAATTTCAAGAAAAATGGTTTTAATAAATAAATTTTTTTTTGTAAAACGAACAAAGTCGAGGCACGTAAGATACGCTCTTCTTGAAACGAAATAGCCTCGTATATTACTCACGGTTCACGGCTAACGCCTCCAAGATACAACGACTTTATGATTTGTGTATAACGGTAACTTAAATACACAAACTTTCGGCGAACAATACTTATGTTTTGAACTCTCAAGATAGAAAAGAACACAAGATGAATATGAACTTTGTAAAAATGATGCAAAGGTTTTGGAATAATTTGATGCCTTGAATGATTTTATGCTAGTGGGTATTTATAGATGTAGGGAGACACCTCCAAAAGGTTTAAATGTCAAAAGACACCTTTTGAGATGTGCCCGAACAAGAACGGATGCATCTAGTGGCCAAAAGATACCTTACGGTCCCTAGTGTCATGTACTCATATTAGTTGTGAATTAGCATTATAGTTGTGTCTAACCGTTAGACGGATCAAATCCGACATTTTTTTTTTAAGGGAAAAAGTATACTTATGTCATGAAATGTTATACTTTTGTTTATGCTATATTTTAGAACTAAATTATAAACTTAAAATTATGTATATTTGTCGAGAGAGTACAACTGTTTACCGTTAGACCTAATAGTAATATTGTTTGCTAAAAAATTGTGTGAAACAAAGTTACTACAATGTTTTGCAATCTTTTTCTTGGCACCCAAAGGCATATTATGTTGACATGCATAATTTATTAATACCCTTATAGTCCTATCAGGTTTGCTATGAAGTCATCGGATAGCTCGGTTTGTGTAGTCATCCACAGTTATTCTCAAATAGTGTATTGACACGTGTCCTACAATAAGTACACTTTAAACAAGTGTCAATACATTGAGTGATTGATGGCTCCATAAGAAAATCATCTGATGTTTTCATAGAATTTTTTATAGTTCCATTTGCATATTATTAAAACATTCATTAAAAGAGGTAAGTTTCCATATTTATACAGAATATTCCTGAAGGTTAGATTCCATTGTTAAGTACAAAATATTGAAACAGTGTAAAGCTACTGTCAAAATGGCATAAGCTATTACTATAACATTTGACTTTTGCATTGTTGATATATTTAAAAAATTATTTGCTCCATCCAAAGGCCCACATGCATGTAGATGGATAATATGCAGGTTCCTTTCAATAGTTTACCAAGAATTAAATTCTAAGGAGCTTCACAAATTTGAATAGTTCAAAATGGTTTATGGTTATACAAACAAAATTAAAAGTCATGGAATTCAAAGAGTGTTAACCTCAATGTTGATTAATGTTGTCTAATTGTTATGCAAATCTTTTTGAATAAAAATATAGGTTTATGTTGTGAAAATATTATACTTGTCTTTGTAAGTAAAATTTTGTAAAGTATTTTCATATCTTTAGAACATACACAATGCATTGAGTTCAGCCACCTAAGAAATAGACCCAGTGTAAAAAAATATATTCTTCAATACAAATAAAAGTAGATTGAATCT